CATCATATTCAATATTATATAGTCATCATATTCCATATTATATAGTCATCATATTCCATATTATATAGTCACCATATTCCATATTATATAGTCACCATATTCCATATTATATAGTCATCATATTCCATATTATATAGTCATCATATTCCATATTATATAGTCATCATATTCCATATTATATAGTCATCATATTCCATATTATATAGTCATCATATTCCATATTATATAGTCATCATATTCCATATTATCTAGTCATCATATTCCATATTATCTAGTCATCATATTCCATATTATCTAGTCATCATATTCCATATTATGTAGTCATCATATTCCATATTATGTAGTCATCATATTCCATATTATCTAGTCATCATATTCCATATTATATAGTCATCATATTCCATATTATGTAGTCATCATATTCCATATTATGTAGTCATCATATTCCATATTATATAGTCATCATATTCCATATTATGTAGTCATCATATTCCATATTATGTAGTCATCATATTCCATATTATGTAGTCATCATATTCCATATTATATAGTCATCAAATTCCATATTATATAGTCATCATATTCCATATTATGTAGTCATCATATTCCATATTATGTAGTCATCATATTCCATATTTTATAGTCGTCATATTCCATATTATGTAGTCATCATATTCCATATTATATAGTCATCATATTCCATATCATATAGTCATCATATTCCATATTATATAGTCATCATATTCCATATTATATAGTCATCATATTCCATATTATGTAGTCATCATATTCCATATTATATAGTCATCATATTCCATATTATATAGTCATCATATTCCATATTATATAGTCATCATATTCCATATTATATAGTCATCATATTCCATATATAGTCATCATATTCCATATTATATAGTCATCATATTCCATATTATATAGTCATCATATTCCATATTATATTGTCATCATATTCCATATTATGTAGTCATCATATTCCATATTATGTAGTCATCATATTCCATATTATATAGTCATCATATTCCATATTATATAGTCATCATATTCCATATTATATAGTCATCATATTCCATATTATATAGTCATCATATTCCATATTATGTAGTCATCATATTCCATATTATATAGTCATCATATTCCATATTATATAGTCATCATATTCCATATTATGTAGTCATCATATTCCATATTATCTGGTCATCATATTCCATATTATATAGTCATCATACTCCATATTATATAGTCATCATATTCCATATTATATAATCATCATATTCCATATTATATAGTCATCATATTCCATATTATATAATCATCATATTCCATATTATGTAGTCATCATATTCCATATTATGTAGTCATCATATTCCATATTATATAGTCATCATATTCCATATTATATAGTCATCATATTCCATATTATATAGTCATCATATTCCATATTATATAGTCATCATATTCCATATTATATAGTCATCATATTCCATATTATATAGTCATCATATTCCATATTATATAGTCATCATATTCCATATTATATAGTCATCATATTCCATATTATATAGTCATCATATTCCATATTATATAGTCATCATATTCCATATTATATAGTCATCATATTCCATATTATATAGTCATCATATTCCATATTATATAGTCATCATATTCCATATTATATAGTCATCATATTCCATATTATGTAGTCATCATATTCCATATTATATAGTCATCATATTCCATATTATATAGTCATCATATTCCATATTATGTAGTCATCATATTCCATATTATATAGTCATCATATTCCATATTATATAGTCATCATATTCCATATTATATAGTCATCATATTCCATATTATATAGTCATCAGAATAGATATGTTTTTTTTAAAAAATATTTTTAAATACCAAACATCATATTCCATATTATATAGTCATCATATTCCATATTATATAGTCATCAGAATAGATATGTTTTTTTAAATATTTTTAAATACCAAACATCATATTCCGTATTATATCTGGTTGGTGGTTTGGAACATTTTATATTTTTCCATATATTGGGAATGTCATCATCCCAACTGACTAATATTTTTTCTGAGGGGTTGAAACCACCAACCCATCATATTCCATATTATGTAGTCATCATATTCCATATTATGTAGTCATCAGAATAGATATGATATTTTAAATACCAAACATCATATTCCATATTATATCTGGTTTGTGGTTTGGAACATTTTATATTTTTCCATATATTGGGAATGTCATCATCCCAACTGACTAATATTTTTTCTGAGGGGTTGAAACCACCAACCCATCATATTCCATGTTATGTAGTCATCATATTCCATATTATGTAGTCATCAGAATAGATATGATATTTTAAATACCAAACATCATATTCCATATTATATCTGGTTGGTGGTTTGGAATATTTTATATTTTTCCATATATTGGGAATGTCATCCCCTCTGACTAATATTTTTTCTGAGGGGTTGAAACCACCAACCCATCATATTCCATATTATATAGTCATCATATTCCATTTTATATAGTCATCAGAATAGATATGATATTTTAAATACCAAACATCATATTCCGTATTATGTAGTCATCATATTCCATATATTATGTAGTCATCATAATATCATATCTGGCTAAATTATACCCTCTGGTAAACGTTTACAAAAAACTATGGTTTAAATCACCATGCTATTAATGGGAAAATCCACTATTTCTATAGCCATTTTCATAGCTATGTTAAATTACCAAAGGGTAAATAAAATTAAATCCCATTAAACCACCATAAACCCTCATTAAATCACCATTTTCCTATGGTTTTCCTATGATTTTCCTATTTTGACGTAACCAGAGGGTAGTGACCTCTCTCTGGACGCGGAAAACGCAACGGGAATCTCCAAGATGAGGCGAGATGATCCCCTGGGCCGAAGCTGGCAGGAACTTCCGACCGGGTGGAGATCGGGAGACCGGCAGATACCCGGCCTGGTAAACATATAGAAAAAAACCGATCGAAGATCACCATTTTGAATGGATAAATCAACTATTTCTATGGGCTATTGTCAATAGCTATGTTAAATTACCAGAGGGTAGGTTGTGGGTTGTGGTTTAAACTGTGTTTCAACTAGGTTTTAACTAGGTTTCATTCTTTGTTTCCCACTGCATAGATGCCAACAACATGTGGTCTACCTTCTCACATTTCATGGTACCATGTACCAAAATTGAATTAGCGTTCAACAGTATACCCCATTTAACTCTCTACTTATATGTATATATATAATTATATATACATCATATGATTAGATATAATTATACAGGAAATTAATACCATATGTTACCACTATTCTAGTAAGATGTTAATTTTCTATATTTATTTGGGGGTTGCAAAGCCATTCACAACGGCCAGGCTCATCTCGATTTTCATCCATCTCCACCAGACTTGAGCAAGAATCTATGATATCTATGCATTGATGGCGACCCAAAAGATCCCAAAATCAATCCCCATCAGAATCAAAATCATTCAAAATCCCAGTTTCTGCCAAGTTAAATTTGTGGTTTTCATCTTGCAATGGATCACAATCCGACTGGGCGGCACCAATCAGAACGCGGGTCGACTCCTGCTCGGCGTGAAACGGGGCTGAAGATCGTTGTGCGGAAAGTCATGGGGCAGCGACCTAATCTGAAACCCTTTTGGCAGTTGAACATATTTGATGATATGTGGCAAACAAATGCCCAGTTTCAGCTGGTTCCTTTTCATTTTTGTTTGAGAGGATTTTGAAGAATCTGCCAGAGATGCTTCAGAAAGCACCTTGGGAAGCCACACGTGTTTAAACCATGGCATAGCACCAGAGAACCATGGGATCCCATTGCAAAACTTACCACAAGTATAGATCATTTTGCCATAGTCTTTGGCAGCAAACACACCAACAAAACATGTTTAACCTAAGATTTCGGCATTTCGACTAGTTCCAATGATAATCAATGATATCCAATTCTACCATAATTCATCCCATCTTTTCTCCTGTGTTCTCATGATTGTTGGATCACAACCACGCAAAAAAAAACGCAGACGCGGGGCCGACGGCGACCTGCCGCTTTCGTGGGCCATGGCCATGTTAAAAGCGACGTTACCCACACTCCAAGAGTACCCCAGCGAGGTGCAAGTCAAGGGTGTCAACTTTGGTGGTGATGGTTACCCTCCGGTCATCAAACACGGCTGGAACATCAGCAATGGAAATTGTCATAGGAAAATCAAGGAACTCATTGCAGGCTTTTCCAGCCATGGAGCTGATTACCAGAGGCTAGTCCAAGAATCCAAGAAAGTTGGGAGCATTGGAAACAATGAGTCACAATGAGGAGGTATTCACTAAGTTAGGGGACATTTTTTTCAATAAACATTGGACCATCATCTTCCAAAATGGATGAAATCCAGGGCTGAACTCTTGGATCCAGATCCCCAGTCTGAGGTCCCACCTGCTATCTTTAGATCTAATTGTAAAAACTCCTGCAGTAAAACCATGTATCATATATGTCATCGATCTACTCTGAAGCGTTGGTTCAAAAGGATCAAGAGCTTAGCGGCCCATTGTGGTTTAGCCCCATTGTTATTGTAACATTGTTGGCTGACCTTGTAAAATACAGGTTATCAGCCGTAGTCTCACTACTTTGCTATGGGGACCCCAATTGACCATCCTCTCGCCGTTCCAGGGTCAGGTCCATCGGCTGTCGCCGTGCCCAACATGGCCGGGGGCAACCCCGAGCCGATGGATGACGAAACAATGCTCCAACCCGTTGTTGCGTACTTTACCTTCATACAAAACAACCTGTCCCAGATTACTAGTGGGAATACCCTGCAAGTCATGAGGGAAGCTGAACAGAGGCACCTTCAGATAATGCATGGAGTAGTTGACTCAATTCGAAACGAATGGTCAAGTAGACTCGTAATGCAGGAGCAGGAGTATGAGCAAAGGCTGCAGGAGGTTGAAGGTAAGGCCATTAGTGCCGTCAACGAGGAGAGGAAACGAGGCGATGAGATGGAGGTCAGGTTGAATCAGGCTCAGGCATCGCATGACAAAAGAATAGAGGATGTAAAGGCAGAGGCAAACACAAAGCATGATCAGAAAATTGCAGAGGAAAGGCAACGTATCACTAGTGAATTTGAAGCTTCCTATGCACAGACAGTTGAACATGCAAAGAATGCCATAGCTGCCACAAAGAAGCAATATGAAGATCAGGCTGCAATTGATCAGGCCAGGTTCATCAGTTTGAGGACCAAATTCGAGAACTACAAGAAGGAGATGGCCGACAAGATCAACGAGGCAGCGGCTCAGAACCTTAGTCTTCAGGACCAAATCGATGACCTTCAGGAGCAGTTAAAGCATGTTGCCAAAGCGCAGCATGCCTCCGTTCCGAAAGCATCCGTCCTGAATGCCGAGCTGGCCGCTACCACTAGCGTGCCCCACTTCAATATTGCCACTCCCAAAGCATCCGATGCACAGGCTGCCAGAGGCAGTGATGAGCCGATTCATGAGTTGAAAACACCTGCAGTGTTGGCACAAGAAGCAAAGGCCAAGTTGGATGAGCTGCTCAAAGGTGGCAGTCCCAAGCAAAAGCCGGCTGTCGGCAACGACCAGCCCCAATTGCCAACGCAGTCAGGGTTTTTCACTCCCACTGAAGCTATCAAAACTCCCCCAAATGACTCCCCTAAGAGCGTAACCAAGCAACAGCAAGTGATGGGTCCCTCAGATCTTATTGAATTGGTAAAAGCCTTAACCCAAAGGGAAGAAAAGGATAAGCCAAAAACTAAGGAGGCTGAACTCATCAAGCTGAACAACATGCCCGCTCCGGAGTCGTATAGGACTTGGAAGAATCATGTCAGGGACGAAGTGAAAAGCTGTTCAGATCGCCCGGATGAGGCGTGGCTCTGGCTCAACGAGGTGTACGATCAAGAGTGCACCAGAGAGCAGTTGGAGAAGAAACTCCAAGATCCTGGAAAGTTCCTTACGCTAGATACAAAGTTATCAGCAGCGCTCACACGCTCAGCCGGAGGGGACCTCGCAACTAGGATCTTGAATTTCAAGGAGCAGCAATCCCGAAAAGGCATCCAGGTCAGGGGAAGGTATGTTCTGCTCATGTTCGAGGACTACTTCAAGACATCAGAAGAAGCAGGTAGCCTTTACAGAGTAGAAGATCTTTTGGGTGTTGTCAAAGTAGGCGATACTGTCCAGGATCTCCGAAGATTCATCAACAAATGGGATGCTACCCTAGCTGGCATGGCTGTCACCCCTGATGATGCTGTGTTAAGGGACATCTTGTTGAGACAGATCCGACCAAGTCAGTTGCTGAAGTATGACATTGAGATGTTTGACCGTGCTCATGAGAAATCCCATGAAAAGTCTTATAGTTTTCTTCACCAATCCATGAAAAACTTGATCGATCGTGAACGATTGAGGGAGAACAGGAACCGCATCGCGGAGAAGAACAAGGCTGGGATCAAGGACACAAAGGCCGCACCTGCCAAAGGCGATGGTCGCGGTGGCCGAAAGGGCTCTCCAAGTCGCGGTAGATCGCAGGAACGAGGTGGCAAAGGTGACAAGATTTGCTATAAGTTCCAAAAGGGTACCTGTGATAAGGGGAAGAAGTGTCCATTCAAGCATGTCAAAGATGATAAATCTCGAACTCAATCACCCAGAAGAACCAAAACACGTTCACCATCAAAGGGCAATAAAGATGATAAGGGGAAGAAAATGTCCAAGGAAGAAATGGCTAAAACCCCATGTATCTATCATGCCCAGGGAAAGTGCAGACGTGGGTGACAAATGTTTTTATAAGCATGATGACAAAGCTGCTGCCGCCACCAAAGACACCAAAAGGGCCAATTCACCCGCTCCCAAGAAGAAGAGCAAGGATTCAACAGCCGCTCCATGCCTGATCCAGAAGTTTGCATGCATCGTCCGAAAACAGCCGAAGGCAACTTCGTGCTCTGATGAGTCAAGTGTCAGCATGAAGCGCCTTAGATTCCGAAAGGCCCCACATGTGATCGAGGTGAAGGCGGTCGGTCGTCAGGTCCCAGTCAAGCACCGTCCAAGAGAGTTCACTAAGGTGTACAAGACAGCTGAAGATGTTCCAGTTTCATCCAAGGTTGAACAACATGAGGCTCAGGTTCGTGCTAGACAGCTTCAAGAAACTGTGAAACTTCATGATTCAGATGTTGCACCTAGTTGTGGGTTTTGTTGTTGGAATGAGGACACACGTGACCTCACATGCAAAGAGTGCAGGTTCGTCAGCGGTCCCAAAGCTCTTAGAGACATTGGTCGTTTCCCGTCAATTGCCACAGCTGCGCCAAAGGCCGGCGTTAGTTGGCTTGTCGACTCAGGTAGTGAATCCGATCTTGTGTCCAAAGGAATGCTGAGGGATGTCAGTGCCAAGAACTGCCGTGCAGCCGAGCATCCGATTTCCTTAGTCACAGCCAATGGTTCGACCGAGGCAAACGAGGTTGCTGATGTCAAGTTGTCCGCATTGCCAGATCCCGTGCATCCGTATGTACTTGATCATACCCCAGCTGTGCTCTCCGTAGGAACGAGATGTGTAGATCAGGGTTACAGTTTCGTATGGCCTGCCAATGGCAAACCAATCCTACTATGGAGACGTTCGGAACTTAGGAACTTATAAGTTCGAAATAAGTTCGACGCTATGTAAGGGTTTTAGTAGGGCTCAGAAGCTAAGTTCAAGATAAGTTCATTGAAATTTTTGATAACTTGTAAGGAACTTAGGAACTTATGTTGCATGACATCAAAAAAACCTAAAAGGAACTTAGGAACTTATGAAATCATTGTTTTTTTAACATATGACGTGAAACTTGTTAAAAAAGGATATAAAAAACAACATTTGATGTTGTTGCTGATGGTTAAAAAACGATGTTTTTGTAGTTTTTGGCTCAAGTGTGCTAAAATGAATAGAAGATGGCTCAAAAGTTGAAGAAAAACATAGAGGCTGCTCAAAATTTCTTGGCAGGCTTGCAGGCGCTCTCGATTTTTCAGGAGATGCGCCTGAAACAAGTTATGGCTTTGGAGGTTCAAATTTCAAAAGCAGCTCAGCTTTCTACATCAGATGCGGCCAGCCTCTTGAGCCTTTCGAGGATATAATCTTTGGGGATATCAGGCACCGCGCTTGAAAGAAGCTGTGGCCGCGAAGGTCAGATTAAAAGATTTCGTTGGAGCAAGTTGGGTGTATGATGAATTGCGTGGCTCGAGCGCAGAGTCAACAAGTCAAGCGCGAGAATTTTGATTGGAATACTGGAAGGATGACGAGGTTCGTCCGCCAGCTACAGTGACTAATGCGCTTGCGGGAGAAACTGAAGAGGTCTACGCAGTAGCGGCAACCCTGGCTGCGCTGCGCGACAAGACAAATTGCAAGGTGGTGGAGCCAGGAGAAGTGGAAGAAGAGCCACGGATGCAGTGCTGCGTCGACCAGCTGCAAGACGAAGATCTTCCATGACGGATGCGGGGCCCGCGGGGCCCGCGCCGCTGGGGACTTCAGACGGGGAAAAGGAACTTGAAGCTTATAGCAGCTGTGTAAGACCAAGCGACAGAAAAAAAAGCTGTGGTTCTTCCAATAAAGAATTTGGAGATTACGGCAATAGGTCTTCTATGTCTAAGGGACAGGAAGATGAGGAGCCTGCGTTGCCGTCTATAAGGGACGGAACGGGGTAAGGAAAAGCTCTGTCCAAGGTGTTGACACCCACGTCTCTGCGCGACTGGGGTCACGCGTGGCAGAGGGAAAGCTTACGAAGAGGTCTGCTTCGAAGCAACAACCACCTTGCGGGTCTGTGATGGATTCCTCGCACATGCGGCGGGAGCCACACAGCGCCGGTGCGGCGAGTCAATCTTCGGTGGTCTCTGAGCTGCAAAGGCAGGGCTCAGAGGCGCCCAAGACGTCCAGACATGGAAAGAAAATGAAACATCTGGTTGCCAAGAAGGCGGCTCGAAGGCCCATGGGAACAATGGCAATGTAGACGCCGAGCGGGTTTGCCTATCGTGACCGAACAGATTCGCGATGGGTGCTGTGCGCTGTGCGCGTCGAGGACGTGCATATGGCACGGGAAGTTGTTGGGTGAAGCGTGGCTTTATCGAATGAGTTTCACCTGAGGAGTAAATTG